ATATATATATATATATATATATATATATATATATATATATATATATATATATATATATATATATAAACACGCGCAATAACACTGTTTGTATCTTATCAGGTACGGATATGGGGACTTAGAAAAGACCAAAGCAGTATGGAACAGAACAAGAGCTGCTGGAATCCCATTTGTAACATCCTCTTTTTTTTCATATTGTAAAATATTTTAATATACGAACAATTATAAAGATTTGCATTAACTATGTTGTATTAACAGGACACACAGTGGAACGATTTGGATTATATGGATAAGAACAATGATTTCACATATAACAAGAATACGTTTAAGGATTTGCCAAAATTCGTAGAAGAGATTCATTCGGTAAAATATACAGATATATCCATGAAAATGTCATTGTATGATCTGCAAACAGCAATATTTATAGCGATTTTTTCATTCACAGGCTGGAATGCACTATATTCCCTTAATCGATGCTGGTATATCCGCTTCCGAGGACAGCGGTTCTTACCTTCCATACGACGAAGGAATAAAGCAGGGTATATTTGTAAAGGACGCTACATCGAATAATCCTTTCGTTGGCAAGGTCTGGAATCTCGTTTCTACGGTGTGGCCTGACTTCACAAATCCGCAGACTGTTAACTACTACACAAACATGTTGAGCAATATGCACGATAGTTTCGCGTACGACGGTGCATGGATCGTAAGTCTTGATTGATTTGAACGATTGATCTTTCGTACTTATGTAGTTGCGAATATTTTTAATTGGTTCTCTTGCTTTTTTTCTTTTAACTTAAATATTTCAATTGCATCAAGGATATGAATGAACCATCCAATTTCTACAACGGTTACAAAAACGGCTGTTCGCACAACAGTCTGGATTATCCCGAATACGTACCTAACGTCGTCGGTGGTGTGCTCGCTACAAAGACTCTGTGTATGAATGCAAAACACTACTTAGGCTCTCATTACAATCTCCATAATACTTACGGAATAAGTCAAGCGGTTGCTACGAATCAGTAAGTAGATATACGAGTCGATACTGCTGTTTGTTAAAACGTCCGATTGTAAAATGCTTATGAATTTGTTCTCTAAAACCATACGCAGTGCCCTCATTAAGATTAGACAGAAAAGGCCATTTATAATATCGCGTTCGACATGGGTGGGACTTGGTCATTACGCCGGCCATTGGACGGGCGATGTTTATTCATCATGGTGAATATAATAGGTTTAAGTGATCATTTTATTATATATTATTATTAGATAAAAATAAAAGAGATAATTATATATAAATTAAAAAAAGAAAATTATATGATATATTGTTATAATATTGTAAACATATATATGTATAAATTACAATGTTATAACAATATGTCGTTGTAATCTTCTTTTTTAATTTTACTATATTTTATTATATAAATAAAAATGCTATACAATATAAATTAATTTTAACATAAAATTCGTTTGTTTACTAGAATTTTCATGTATTTATTTTGCGAAATGATTTTATCAGGCACGATATGAAGATGAGTATTCCAGCAATCTTGTCGCTAAATTTCTATCAAATCCCGATGGTGGGTGCTGATATTTGCGGATTCGACGGCAACACAACCGCTGCGTTATGCAGTCGCTGGATGCAACTTGGCGCTTTCTATCCGTTCTCCCGAAATCACAATTCTGATGATACGATTGTGAGTACTAATACATATCGATATCATTAATGAAACATTATACATGATACCTCTGGAATACAACGTAAATATATATCACACAGGAACAGGATCCGGTCGCTTTGGGCGACTTGGTAGTACAATCCTCGAAGAATGCTCTGAATATACGTTACCGGTTGTTACCGTACTTGTATACGTTATTCTTCAAAGCGCATAAATTCGGCGATACGGTGGTGCGCCCACTATTCTTTGAGTATGTATCGATTATCGCACGTTTCGTATTCAATATCCGATGAAATCAAATGTCATCGTGGTGTCTGTCGCATTTCGATTATCGAATCCGCAACTATTATGTGTGTAAAACGTATACAACATTAAATGTCTAGGTTTTCCTGCGACACGCATACCTATGATATTAATACGCAGTTCCTCTGGGGAAGTTCGCTCATGATCAATCCAGTTCTTGAGGAGGTTTGCTCCGTCATTCGATTATTTTATCCAATAAGTAACGTCTCGACACTTTATTAATCATTATTGTTGTTTACATCCTACAGAACAAGAGTAATATAACTGTTTACATACCATTTGGAGTGTGGTATGACTATTACGATCTCACAACTTTCTTGTCTTACGGGAAGAATTTCACATTACCTGTTCTGCCCACTGAAATACCATTATTGATCCGCGGTGGCTCGATACTTCCAACACAAAAACCGGGCGTGACGACGACTGAGAGCAGAAGGAACAATTTTGAATTATTGGTAGCATTAAATGAATTCGGTAGTGCCAGAGGAGAACTCTATTGGGACGATGGTGATAGCATAAGTATGTAATTTCAATAACATCGCTTGCGAGCTGAATCTTGCGATGCGTCCTGACTATTATATCCTTTTTCGAAATCCATAGATTCTGTGGAAAGGAATGATTATCTGTGGTTGTCCTTCGTAACCTTAAACATGACGAAATTATCGAGCTCAAGAATGGATGCCGGCACTTTCAACGACGAAGTAACACTTCAGAGAGTTGAGATCTTTGGAATAAATGCAGTCAAGGTGGTTTACCTAAACGATAATCCTATCACATTCGTTTACAATTTCGACACGAAGGTAAGTGTGCTATTGAGTATCGATTCATAAATTAAGGCAAAATGGTAATTCGCACGTACAAGCGCATATTGGAATATGTAATAATTATTTTAGAACTTGACTGTCTTTGACTTCGAAGTGGACATGAAGCAACCATTTGTATTTTCGTGGATTTTTTCTTCAAAATAGATATTCCTAAAACACGTAAACAGAGTGTTGAGTCTGATTCGAATATTTAATCGTGATATGTAAATCATATTACTTATGACAATTGATGTGATGTAGAGATCTGAGACTACTAGAATATATACACTATATGTAATATATGCGTATATATATATATATATAT